GAAGTGGCACTGTAGCTCAAGTGGTAGAGCGCTCGCCTTGAGCTGAAGAGCTGAGGGACAGCGCCCAGGCCCAGAGTTCAAGCCCCACAGCCGACAAAGAAAAAAAAGTCAGTACACAATATCAAAATTTAAGTCTTTAGTCAGATGTGGTTTCACATACCTGTAAACTCAGAACAGATCAGAGCAGGAGAATCACACATTCAAGGCAAAACTGGGCTGCAGTAGGAAATTCAAGGCTGGTCTGGCAACTAACTCAGTGAGGCCCTATCCCAAAATAAAAACAACAAAGGGCTGGACCACATTTGGTTAGTTGCCTGACTATGCAATCCCACAGCCCAATTCCAGCACCAAGAAACATAAACAACTAAAAATGTTATTCTACAAAGTGTCCCAGAAAGAGAATCCCAGGGATGATATATATTCAAACCACACACATACAAAGGACTCACATCTATGCTACACAAAGTCAGAATCCAGCAGTAAAATAAATAATCCAGTTAGAAAATGGGCAGAAGACATGAATAAACATTATACCAAAAACACATAAATGGCAAATAATAAGCACAGGGAAAGCTGTTCAAGACCATTAGCTATTAGGGAAATGCAAATTAAAACCACAACAATATTAAAACACTTGGAGCCCAGGGAAGAAAGTGCATGAGACCCTGATCTCCAATTAACCCTAGAGAACTGTAACTGTAAGATCTGAGCACACTATATATTGATGGCTACTTTAAAAAAGGAGTTCAAATCTGCATTAAAAAATCAGCAGGGTACATTTCCTCCACACTATTAAACACTGTGGTGTAACCCTTGGAGGGCCCAGGAGTTGTGCAAAGAGGCTGGTGTGAACACACAGAAATGTTTCAAATTCGAAGGCCTGGTCCACAGGGTGGGACCGAGGACTCATGGTGATAAAACTCACCGGTGCCAATACCTAAGCCAGGAGCTGGGTGCCTTTCTTCCAGCAAACACGTGTACTTGACTTGCTTACCCACAGCGGCCAGATGTACATTACACCTCTTCTCCATGACAAAACGAAGTCAAACCAGCAAAAGAAAAAGTCACTAGCAAACAAACAAAAAACCCTCAACAATCCCAGACAACTATTTCTAGTAAACCTTGTAATCAAATATGTCCTATTGTTTGACCTCTATACTACCCTTGTCTTTCAAAGATTCTATTACATACTGACTTCCAAAATCAAAGAAAAAAAAAATTGAAGGGCTGGGAATGAGGCTCAGTGGTTGCGCTTGCCTAGCATG